GGCAGCCGCTCGCACGCGCATCCTCGGGCCATGCCGGCGACGCGGCGCGGGGCGCAGGCCTCCTGGCAGAACTCGTTGAAGTCCGAGGTCGCTGCCGATCAGATCATCACTTTCCGCGCCCAGCGCTGGAAGGGGGCCCGCGATTGCTGGTCGGGCCCCCGGGCGCGGAAGTGTCGCGCGCTGCCGCTGCCGCCGCCTGCGCCCGCGCAGTTCCGGCAGCTGGCCGGGGCGAGCATGCCCACTCCGACCGCCTTCCATCCGGAATGGGGCCTCCCTCGTAAATCAACCAGGCGGTGGAGGCCGCGGGCCCACCGATAGCGCTGCTCTGACCGTGGGCCTCGGAGCTGTCGTGGGCCCATGCCCCCAATGCGTACCTCTTCGTCGGCGCATCGGGCGTGATCTTCAGTCGCGTGGCTGTGGCTGTCGCCGCACTCGGGACATCCCAATGCGCAGTTGCGAGCATGCCATGCGCGCGTCGCGTCGCCACGTCCGCCGCGTTCAAAATATGCCGCATCGCCGTTGCGGGCGCCCCCCTCGCGCGTCGCGTCGTCGCTGCGCTGACAGCCGGCGCGATCGCCCACCGGAAGAATGCGCATCGGGGCCTCGTCATGCCAGTCCGAGGTGATACGGCGGGCGTTTCACTTCGTCGCGCGCCGCGGGGGCGACGACAGGTGGTCCCAGACCTGTTTCACTGGCCCATGGAGCGGTGGCGACATAGTTGTCCAGCGCCCCACTGCGCCCCCACACTTATCCGAACTCTCGCGCGCCTGCGTCTCCCGGGGCGCGTGCGCCATGTTTGCGAGAAGCTCGGGGCCGCGCGGTTCCGAGAGCGTCTCCGACTAATTTGGAGGGCGCCCTGGGAAACGAGCGCGCAGCGGGCGGCGGGTGGGCGCCGCGTTCCTTGAGGCCCATGGCGACGCACTAGTTCTGGTCGATGTCCGCCCCGTCGGTCGCCTCGGCGAACGCGGGGCGGATGGGCGCGGAAAGCAAGAAAAGCATTCTTGCCAGGCGCGTCGCCGCGGGGCAGCTGCGGGGGGGGCGCGCGGGGGGGGGGCGCGCAGCAGTAGCGCCGGCGACGACGGCGGCAGCAGGGGGGCAGCGCGGGGGGCGCGCGGGCGGGGATTAAGAAAAGAGAAAGTACGCACAGCAATGTACATATAGATATGTATATATATACATACATACATACATACTTATTTATTTATACGAGAGATGTACATGTATATATACATCTGTACATACAATAAAACAAACGCAAACGAGGGCCCCAACAGCGCGCCCCCCCGCGGGCGAGGGGGGCAGCAGCAGAGGCAGGAACACTGACGACGAACAATGGGGTCCAGGATCAATGGAACCGCGAAGCAATAAGCCATCGGGCCCAATGCGCCAAGAGACAAACTCAGAAGTGAACCGCGCAACGTCGCAAGGAACAGGACAGAACGCGGCCGCGCGGCCCCCGGGGCCGGCGGGCGACGACGCCGGCGCAGGGGCCGAGGCAAGGAGCAGCGCCCAGGACGCCGCGGCAGAGCCAAAACAAGGAGCCAGAAAAACCGCGCCGCCGAGGTCCAGGGGGCGCGACGCTGCGCCGCGGAACACCTCGGGATGGCGGACAGTCGGAGCGGCCCTCAGAAACATCGCTCTCCAGGAGCACGCAGTGGCCGCTGCCTGTTCGGCGCGCGCTTCCCAGGCGAGAGAAGCGCAGGCAAATGAAGAAACGGCTGCGTTCGAAATGGGCGCGCAACTGGGCGGGGGCCCACCGACTGGAGAAACGGAGACTACAACGACCACGGGGTCCCAGGGCCAGGGCCGCCAGCAGAAAACATATGCAATTTTCTTACATCGCTTTGCCGACGGCCTCAGACGAGCGAGAACGACATGTTGCGGAGGGGGGCACTGCATAGGCGGCCGTGACCACGGGCCTTCAGGAATGCGTCGAGCGCAACACTGGCAGCGACGTCGCGACCAAGCGCCCGCATTGGCCCCGGAAGAGCAAGAGTCGAACGCGGGCGCTCGTCGCGGGAACCATCGCTTCCAAGGACCACGCAATGGCCGCGGCCTGTCGGGCGCGCGCTTCCCAGGCGAGGGGAGAGCGCAGGAAAAAAAGAAACCAACAAAAAAAGAAGCACACCGAAAACACGAATTCGAAACGAATGCAAAGCAGGAGTAGAGCCCGCCAACGGGAAATGGAACATGCAACGACCTAGGAGTTCCAGGGCCAGGGCCGCGCGCGGAAATCAGATGCAACTTTCTCACATCGCCCGGCCAACGGCCTCAGACGAGCAAGAAAGGCACGTTGCGGAGGGGGGGCAGTGCCTAGGTGGTGGTGGGCATGGGTCTTCAGGGCTGCATCGAGAACAGCGCCGGCAGCGACGTCGCGATCAAGCCCCCAAATAGGCCCCAACAATGCGAGAGTCGGGAACCGAGACTCGTCGTGGCAGCCATCGCTCTTAACGACCACGCAGTGGCCACGGCCTGTTATGCGCGCTTCCATGCGAGAGAAATGCAGAACAATCAGGAAACGACCGAATTCGAAATGGGTACAATGCAGGACCAAGGCCCACCAACTGGAAGCGGAAATTACAGCGACGAAGGGGTCACAGGGTCAAGACCGCACGCGGCAAGCAGAAGCAACCTTCTTTGATCGCCTGGCCAACGGCCTCGGACGAGCGAGAACGACATGTTGCGAAGGGAGGGCGCTGCGTAGGCGGTGGTGGGCATGGGTCTTCGGGGATGCATCTAGAACAGCGCCGGCAGCGACGTCGCGACCAAACCCCCCCATTGGCCAGAAGAGCAAGAGTCGAGAACCGAGACTCGTCGCGGCAACCGTCGCCCCCAAGGTCCACACAGTGGCCGCGGCCCGTTTGGCGCGCGCTTCCCAAGCGAGAGAGGCGCAGAAAAAAACAGAAAACGACCGAATCCGAAATAACTTCAAAGCAAGACCAACCCCGACCAGCAGGAAGCGGAAAATACGACGACCAAGGGGTCCAAGGGTCAAGACCAGACGCTCCCTCCATCGTCCTGAGACTTGGATGCCGAGCAGGGGCGGTCGTCTGGCCCCCCGCGTCGGGCACAACGCCCTCGGCCCGCGCGATGAAACCAAGCCAGGGCTCACAACTCCATGCAGAACAAGTTGGAATTTCCAATGGGAAGGTGGGCGCGCGCGGCCTTTGCGAGAGCCCTGAGCCGTGACCGAAGACGAAATATCACAGGCGCCTCGACTGCCATGGGCTAGCGTCCGACGCGAACCTGCAGACGCAGCGGCGGGGTCACGGGCACTCGAAGCCCACGAAGATACCCCCGTCACCAAACCCGCACCAGGAGTCCAATGAAAAGATGTAGAACCCCCGTCACCAAACGAAAACGATTCTCTCCTCTAGACCTCTTTCGAAATCCTAGGTTACATACATATCAGCTTCAGTTGAATATATGTAATGTAATGGAAATTAATTCGGAAATAATTTCCCAAATGTATGTAATTGTGAAAAACAATGAGGTATGAACGCGAGGAGGAGGAGGAGGAGGAGGAGGAGGAGGAGGAGGAGGATCGAAGCCCACGAAGATATGAACGCATCCTGCGCTGTGCGCAACCGCGGTGCGCTCGGCGCTGGCCCCGCAGCGGCTGCAGAGCGTCAGAGCAGGGGCCGCTGCGCCCTGCCGGACGAGAACGAAAGAACGGCGGAGGACAAAGAAAGGGAGGAGGAGGAGGAGCAGCAGGGAGGAGGAGGAGGAGGAGGAGGAGGAGGAGGAGGAGGACGAGGAGGAGGAGGAGGAGGAACCCCAGAGGCAGAGGGCGCACGCCCACGGGAGCGGGGTCAAGTCACTGCCCGCCTGAGGTTCAGGTCGCCAACGCCAGATCCGACGCATCCCTTTGGGGAGGAGTTTCCTGCGGTCTCGGTGGCGCAGACGCTGCGCCGAGGAAGAAGGGGCCAGCTGTCCTCGGACGAACGGGCCCCCCCTTGCTGCCCTGCGCAACCAGTCAGCTCGAGCCCGACGGGCTTCCCGCGAGAGAGGATGCCGACATTGCAGGGAGAAGGAAGCACGAGCTCCTCCTCCTCCTCCTCCTCCTCCTCCTCCTCCTCCTCCTCCTCCTCCTCCTCGAGGAGGGGAAATGGAGGATGGAATGATGACGAGGAAGAGGGGGGAGCGAGGTCGGAGGCGCAGGGAGGGGCGATGGGGCGGGATGGGGGGACGGGAGGGAGGCGCCGCGGCAGGGAGCCGCTGCCCCTGCTGCCGCAGGGGAGCCGCGCGGCCGACGAGGGAGAGGACGAGGAGGAAATCCCTGGAGGGCTGCCATCCTCCTCCTCCTCCTCCCTCCTCCTCCTCCTCCTCCTCCTCCTCCTCCTCCTCTTCCTCCTCCTCCTCCTCTTCCTCCTCTTCCTCCTCTTTCTCCTCCTCCTCCTCCTCCTCCTCCTCCTCCTCCTCCTCCTCTCCCTCGCTCCCTCCGAGTTCCCCTCCGTGTGACGGGGCAGCGAGTTCGGGGGGGTTGGCGCAGACGGGGAGACGTCGACCTGGAATCGGCGACACGTTGCCGATCGATTGGCGATAGGCCCCCGAAGGAACATCCAAACGTTCATGGGGAGGTTGGGGCTATCGGACCCACATCGGCGAGGAATGGGCCATCGGTGGTCGATGCACCCCCCCGAACCTATTCCCCCCTATCGTTGCCCCTGGTGATAGGGCCCCCAGAGGCCACCAGAGGACCCAGGAATCCTGAACAATCTGAAACCATCGACGATATCCACATGTGCAGAAAAGCCCTTCTCCGCCGTTGACGAGGAGGAGGAGGAGAAATAACGATGACGAGGCCAAGGAGGATGACTCCGACGACGCCGGCAAGGACGAGGCAAGACAAAGGGAATCCTAGCGAGCACGAGGACGAGGCGGAGGGGGGGACTGGAAGACAACGATGACGGCGACGACAACGATGGCGACCACAACCGATGCGTTTGGACGTTGTCGGCAATGTCTGAGGGCGGAGGAGAGATCGGGAAAATCCTTTTCGACGAAGAAATGCCGCCCAGTGATAGTTCCAGCTTAAAACGACTCGAGGCGCCCCTTCGGCCTCGAAATACTTATAATAACCTTCCTTCCAATTCCCCCACCGTTGCCCCACTGTTCGTCCCTTTCTGATTATCCTCCACATCCTCCTCTCCTTCCTCTTCCTTTTCCTCCTCCTTCTCCTTGTCCTTCTCCTTCTCCTCCACAGCCTCCTTCTCCTCCCTCTCCTTCTCCCACATGTTTCTCTGCCTCCCCCTCCTACAACTCGTTTTCCTCTTCCTCGTACTCGCTGTAGTTGTTCGATGTAAGCGCAAGGCTTTCTCGGCTCCCATGGTTGCGGGGTTTTCTTCTCGTTTCTCCTGCTCTTGTCTTGATATCTCTCGTCTGTCCCCCTCTGGGGGCTGAAGCCTTTCTGGGTCAAACTCTGGGTCGGCCTCAGTTGGCTCAAGGCCGGGTACCCAAAGGCCAACCCAGGAAGCCCACAAAATTCCGGGGGGGGCCCACACGAGAGCCCGAACGAACATTTCGAGCCGTCGGCCCCAAGAAGCTCCTAGGATGCCCCAAGGGGCCCCCAAGAGGCCCCCACGAGGCCCCAAGAGGCTCCCAAGAGGCCCCCAGGAAGCCCGAAGGAACTCCCAAGAGGCTTCCAAGAGGCCCACAAGATGCTCCCAAAAGGCCCCCAAACTACCCCCTAGAGGCCTACGAGCGCGCTCCGAAGAGGCCCCTATGGAGCATTTCTGAAGAATATGCCCCACGTCGGCGTCGTCGACGCCGACGCCGCCGTCGTGGTCGTCGTCCCTTTTCAGGGTCGGCGGCACCGGCCATAAAGCGTTCCCAATCCCACCCTCCTTCAGCCGTCCTCTCTCCTGGCCCCCCCTTCCTCCCTGCCGCTTCCCCGCCACTGCCTTCCCCACGCCTCCCTCCTCCTCCCTTCGCCCTCCGCCCGTCTCTCTGTCTCCAGCCCCCCGTCTCCAATCCTTCGCGCTTCCTCCTGTGCTATGCTATGCGCGCGGGAAGAGTTTGCGCTTCCTCCCATGGTATGCTATGTTTCGCGCTTCATCCTCCGTCGTGACTCCGTTATCCACCATCCGACCCGCACTGCAATTGGCTACTACGCGGCGGGCTTGAAACTGCTCGCGCCGCCGTGTGCAGTCGCACGGCGCGCACCTGTACTTACTCCTCCTGAAGAGGCGATTCGAAAGGTTAGCGCCACGACGGCTGTATAGGGAATAAAAAATACAAGAGGATGGCAAAACACATGCTCGGCATGCGTTCCCGCGCCACCGGCTTGCAGAGTATTCTGAAACTCCGCAACGGACGCACTCCTAAGTCAATCGAGGCTTCTTACCTTGCATGTGTCTGGTGCCGCTTTGCGAGTGATTTCTTTTGAGACGCTGTCACTGCCAGCCCCTCCTTACTCCTGACCATCGCTCCAGAAGCCTCGCGAAACCTCCTAGAAGCATCCAGAAGGCACCGACAACGTCCGAACACGATCACGGCGATGGCGTTGTCATCGTCGTCGTCCTCCCTTTCCTCCGCCTGGAGTGAAGGGGGCGGCCGCTTAGGAAGTCTGGGGGTTCCCACAAGGAACCGGACGCTTCTAGGAATATTTCCCGGAAGGCAGGACAAACAGAAAGCTCTTGCCTTCCTCGAAAGTCCCGGTGTCGCCGCGCCCCCCAACCCAAATCCACTTGAAGATGGTCCCCGCACCCGTCCATCGGCCGATCCTCGTCAATTTTTCAACCTGCGCGCATCCGTGGCCAGGAAGCACCCTGCCCCCCCGGCAGGAGGCCGCGAAAGGTGGAGAAACGACGTCAAGCCGATCCCTGCCCCCATCCCCCCTCTCCCCTCGTTCGCCTCCTGCGCCTGCACTTTTGCGGTTCGGCCTGGGGGCCGGTGCGCGCACCCCTCGACAGTGGAGGAGGGAGGAGAAAGAGGAGGATGAGGAGGTGGAGGAAAACCCCAACTTGCAGCGACTCGAGCGAATCGCACAAAACGCCGCTGGACGCCGCTTCCAGGCCAAGACCGTCAAACATGACTCAGGAGGAAGCCCGACTGGCTCGACAACATCAAGATGTCGGAGATGTGGGGGGGATGAAGAATACATGGGCGGGAGGGAGATGAGAAAGGATGGCGCTGACGCTCATGATGCTCGTGATGCTTATGATGCGGATGCTGATGCTCATGCTGCGGCTGGTGCTGGTGCTGATGCTGATGGGGATGGTAACCATGATGGTTGTTGTGTTGTTGGTGATGATGGTGGTGATCATGATGATGCACCTTTTGCACCGTGCCCTCAAGGTCTCCCTGGCGCCTGAGGCGGCACGACAAGCCGCTGATATGAAACGTTATGCAAGCGCGCCTCGCTGGAAGCGCGAGAAAATTGAGGTCAGTGCAGCAGGCGAGCGAGCGGGCGTACACAAGCGAGCCATTCCTCTTTGCTGCTCTGGCCAGCATCCACAAGCCAGTCTGAACTGAGCAATCGAGCGAGATCCATCTCCCATCGCCAGGCCTTGAACTCTCGGCCGTGCGTCTGGGATCCGTGCTCGCGTTTTACTCTCTGGAGCCAGGCCATGCTGCGCCGCTGTAGCAGATGGGCGGGCTCTAGCTGGGCAGGCGCCGCACTTGGCAAGGCGGCCCGGCGGGCTAGATGACCAGCCCAAGTGAGCCTGCGAAGATTCACATCTATGTCCCATGTCTGCTGGGACTGTGGAGCGGCAGGGACTCGGCGCCGGCGACGGCGGCAAAAACCCGCTGGCGTCTCCTCCTTCTATCTTTGCGCGGACATTAGCTGTGACAGCATTTTGCGACGCGTGATGCGCACTAAATGCAGGCCCTTGACAGCGGGGCTCCACGGCCCCGAACCCGAGAGCAAGACAGGCTCGACAGCTCGCTCGAGCAGCTTCGCGGCCTGCTGCCAGCGGCAGGCGCGTCCATGCAGAGACTGCTTGAAAGCGTAAAAGGCTCGCCAGGCTCGCGCTACCCTCTGCTGCTTGTCCTTCCAAGACCTTCCGTAGAAGGTGAAAGCAGTGCCGAGGCAGGGGGGGGCCCTCGGCGCGTGGCGCGCGCGTCAGGATGCCGTCCTCGACCCTCATCTGGTAGTCGCCGAACTCGTGGTCCAGCGCCGTCGTGCCCCAGGTCAGACCGGAGGGAGGTACGCGCCAACCGCGATCTCGAAGAATGCGTCGCCAGGCCATCGTCATCGGGCGCAGCGTCTCAGCCGTGCCCGCGAACAGCCAGAAGTTGTCGGCGCAGAGCAGTCCCGCCCCGTACAGCGTCGCCTCTCCTGGGAACTCGAAGCCCCAGCCGTGCGTCCAGCGCTCGTACAAGAACTCCTCCCAGGCATCCTCCAGCACCAGGTTGAAGAGGATCGCGCTGGCTGGGTCTCCTTGTCGAATGCCACAAGTCCGAGGTACTGGCTGCGTCTGGATCGAGCCCATCTCGGTCACCGCCGAAGCCTTCAACTCCCTCATCATGGCCGGGATCGCGGGCCTTGGCGCGGCCCTTCCGCGCGGCGTCTCCTCGATCGAGCGGTGCGATGCACGGTCGAAGGCCGCCTCGACGTCGCCGTCCATGACGAAGATGGGTCGGTGCCACTCGCGAGCCTTCTCCACCAGCATGCGCATGCTGAAGATCACGTCCATCGCCTGGTGGAACTTCCGATAGGCGTACTGCGGACTCCGCGGGGTCAGTTTGCTGCCACATTTCTTGATCAGGCCGATCGAGTAGAGCCTCTCGAAGGTGGTCAGGGGCGCGGTCGGCCTGTACCCCTTGAGCGCCCTTCTCCTTCACTAGCTGGATGATGTGCTTCGACCAGGCTTGTTCCTTGGCGTGCCCTGGCACCCCGCGGAAGCGGTTCTCGAAGATGGCCGCGAGCGAGGCGGACCTCGGCGACAACCCCGTCCACGCCAGGCACCTTCATGGCATTCACGTCACCCAGAGCCTCGCGGAGCATCTCGGGAGAGAAGGGCGGGGTGTCTAGCGCGTCCTCCTTCGCGAAGTGGGCGGGGCAGGCAGGGGCCCCGACAGGCCCCTCCCCGTCGCTGGCCCTACAGGCGCTGCCGTGCTCGCGCTCCAGAAGCTCCTGGATCCTCGGCGGGTCGTCCTCGATCTCCCCCTCCGCGCTCATCAGCTGGATGTGGGCCGGCCCGGGCTGAGCTCGGCGAGGTGCTCGCGCTCGAGGATTGCCGGCCTCGCGTAGGCTGCGCTGCAAGGCCCCGCTCGCGGCCCAGATCTCCCTGCGAATCCTGATGATGTCCTCGCCGTAGATGGCGCGCTGCACGCGGTCGCGGGTGCCCCGCCGGCGCGCCTCCAACATCCGCAGCGTCTGCATGAGCTCGTGGCTCTCGGGGAGCTCGGGGACCTTCCGCACTGGCGGGCCCCTGCCGCAGGCTGCGGCAGCCATGTGCACCGCGTCTGTCATGGACGTGATCGGCGCTAGGTTGCGGTCGGCGTAGCAGGCGTTGTGGCCCCAGTGCTGGAAGCGGTTGTCGAGGCATGTCCAGCCCTTCATGGGTGCACGGCCTCCGTTCCAGACGTAGCGCCTCCTGGTGCCGAGGGTGAGCTCCAGCTTGATGGTCGAGCGGTCGGACTGCGCGCTGTCGATGATCTCCTCGAGCGTGGCGCTGACCTTCCAGATGTCGCGAGCAGGTAACAGGACATCGTCGATCAAGGCTGGCGGGCGCTTGAAGTCGCAGTGGCAGGTGGGCCCGCTGGCCGCCGCAATGAACGTGTTCCTCACCGCGAGGTCGTGCTGCATCAGGAGCCGCGTGAACAGCTCGGCGCGGTGCGTGCGCTGACCGACTGGGAAGTCCCCGATCCAGCGCTCCTCGCCCGCCCTCGGGGGGAGGCAGAGCCGTCTGCGCGACCGCGCCCGCGATCGGATTCGCTCCAGACGGCGCCATGGTGATCGGGTCGGAGAGCTCGTCCAGGGAGTTTTCGGCCTGGCTGAGAGAATGTCCTGGGAAGAGGTGGCTGCGTATGACCCGGTCGTCTTTCTTGCGAGCGCGAAAAGGATGAACCGCCGAACGCCCCCATGGCAGCACATCGCCTCGAAGAAAAAGTCGAGCACGAGAGCGCGCCAGCAGCCCCATCTGCTTCCGCCCCTCGACGCGCGGTGTGACCAGGTAGAGATCGCCCTCGCTGACCTCTAGCTTCGTGGTCGTGCCCCAATGGCCCACCTCCTGGAGGATGGCCACGTCGTAGTCGTGCTGCTCGCGCAGCGTCTCCGCAGAGAACTTGGCGCTGCGCTCTGCAATCCCTGAGCGTTCCAGCTGATTAGCTCGAAGCCCATCTGCTCCTCGGACTCCTCCAGAGTCCGCTCCCTGTCCAGTCACTGCCCCGCGTTGACCTTCGCCTGGGACTCGACTAGGTTCAGGTTCGCGCCCGTGGAGGTGCTGATCTCGGTCGCGACGTCCTCCTTGAAGTTCATGAGGCCCGTGGTCCCCACCATCTCGCCAAACCCGTGCTGCTTCCACCAGACGATGCCACGAATGTAGTCCAGCTCTAAGCCGGTCATCTGCATCTGCACACCGAGGTTGTCGATCATCTCCTCCTTCGCACGCGTGATCATCGTAGAGAGCCGGATTGGCTCTGGAGGTTTATTCGCTGAGAACCAGAATCGTCGACCCTGATGATGCTGCTGCGGCATGGTAATCTGCTTGCCGTTCATAGAACGCACCCAAGCCCACACGCGACCCGAACTTGTGAAGCGGACCTCCAAGAAGCTCGCACGCCTGAGCGGGACGAACGCTCCATCCTCTGCCTTGTCGGGAATCGTGTCGGTGAAAGCGCGAGCCTCGTTCAGGATGGTATCGCGTGGCGCGTCCCGGATCCCAGCCGCCGATGGTCACGCAAATCTTGTCGGTCGCCTTCTTCGGCCCCGACGGAACCGACTGTGCCGCACTCTCGAGCCCCGAGAAGCGCAGCGGAGACCCGACCGAAGACGCAGCCGTATATGGTGCCACCGAGCGTCCCTTGCGAAGGTCCTTGAGCTCCTGCTCCATAGTGTTGAGGCGGCCCTCGTGCCTCGCGACATCCTTGCTCACGTTGTCCACAGATGTCTTCACGTCCGCAAGGTCCTTTGCCATCGGCTCTTTGATCTCTGAACGCAGCATCTCCCTGAACTGAGCCATCATCCTGTGACCATCCATGGGTGCACTGTGCGCTGGCTCGCGCGAGCGGCTGCGAGAGCCCATCGACTGCTGGCACGATCTAGCGGAGTCGTGAAACAGATGGCAGGCGCGAGCCCCAGCTCATGCCGCCGCTTGAGCCAAAATGGATCATTATGATGCTGATGATGATGACGATGATGACGGCGATCGTGATTTCAACGCCGTCTGGGAGGCCTTCAAACAAACACCAAATGCTTTCCGAACCATTTGGGGGGTCATTGGGTTCATAGTTTCCAGACACGGTTTGACAGGTTTGACCGTCTTCCCTTCCCTCCTGTGCGCGCGTGAGGCTTGACCCCCTCCCTGCCACGGAGGCCTACGACCCCGAGCGTGGCCGCAGGCCAGTCGAGATCACTCCCGGACAAAAATCAGGAGGACGTAAGACCTGGGTACAGGGGACTTGGAAATCCCCGACGAGGTCGTCAAAAAAATGACGAGGCCGAGCCTGCATTTTGACGAGGCCTCCCGCTGCAGACATCCCACGAAACTCCTCCTCGTCAAAATCCGAGGCGCGGTCGTCAAAAAACGATGGCGAACCCGAGTCCTGGCAGACCCGGGTCTTACGCTCCCCCGAAAAAACTGGCCACGCCGTCGTTTTGACAGAAGCGCGAGGGGACATTCCCCCCGAAGAGGGGGTGCGTGGGCCAGGGGCAGGGCGTCGCGCCGTATATGCGGCCCAGAGCAGCGCGGCTCGGCGCGCACTTGCTGAGTATAGGAGGAGGAGGAGGAGGAGGAGGAGGAGGAGGAGGAGGAGGAGGAGGAGGAGGAGGAGGAGGAGGAGGAGGAGGAGGAGGAGGACAGGAGGAGGAGGAGGAGGAGGGAGGAGGAGAGGAGGAGGAGAGGAGGAGGAGGAGGAGGAGGAACAGGAAAAGGAGGAGGAAGGAGGAGAAGGAGGAGGAGAAGGAGGAGGAGAAGGAGGAGGAGGAGGAGAAGGAGGAGGAGAAGGAGGAGGAGAAGGGAGGATGGGTGGGTGCCCTGGGATGGACGGGGCGGCCAAAGGTGCCACCGCACGGAGAAGAGAGGGAGGCAGTGGGGAGCTGCATGGCCAGATGGGCGCAGCGGCTCCGGTTGTTCTCCCCGCGTACTCGTGCTGTGCCGAACCCATCTGCTCTTACACTTCTCCACTCCAGTTCTGCCCGTGCGAGGCCTGAACCCCTCCTTGCAACGGGTGCGAACCTCTGATTCTGCAGTAGCCCACAGACGACGTGCTGTTGCACTCTTCTGCGAATGTCCTCTAGGAGCCCTTCGGTGGACATTTCCCGAGCAGAAGCAAGGGGGAGGTCGAGGACGGGAGGCGGAGGCGGAGGACGAGGGCCTGGGCGAACCAGGACGAAGAGAAGGACGCGGGGGCAACATGTGAGGGGAGCCTCGCAGAGGCCAAGGAGAAAGACGGGAAGAAGCCGATGACGAGGATAACCCACGAAATGTGCACTCCACTCCCAAGGGCATGGGTAGCGCCAGATAGAGGAATCCGATTATTGTGGCGACGCGGAGGTGGCGTACAGTTCCACAACGAAAGAGGGCGCATTGTATAACCCACCCACGAATACTACCCCACACACCCGCAATGATAATTATTGTGGCGGCGTGGGGGGCGGGGGTCATGCTTCGGATCCAGAGGAAAAATAGAGGAACGAACAACTATAAACATAAAGTGTCGGAGGTCCACGCGGATTTCTTGATGATCAGGCCACGGGCGGCGTTGGAGGCGCTGCTTGGGGGGCCCAGCGCAGATCCAAGAAATCTGCGCGAAGCTTGGACAAGTTATGTTTATGTCATCTTGTCTTCTTCGACAGAGGAGGAGATGTCTTGGAGGATAATCGACTTCACGCAAGGGTGACCCTGGGTCAGAGTGACCTTTGGTGCGCGGCTTCTTGGGGGCCGCGAGGGGACCAGACGCAAGCGTGCAAGACGCTACTGCCCCATCGCGTTCGGTGACCGGGGGAGCCCACTGGGCCCGCATCAGAGGTCACTCCAGAGAAAGGTCATTCTTTCGTGCAGTCGAGAGCAATCGATCACTGCACCGACCTTGCTGACGTGCTGCAGCGGAATTTTGCGTGGATTTCGGTCAATGCAAACCCCGAAACGGTGAGCGAAAAACGAAGTGAATTTCCACGTGGATTTTTTTAGTCGCCATTCCTGGCCAAACAAAAACCGCACGAAATTCACTTCGAAATCCGAAACGAAATTCTCCTGGACGATCTGGGCCCATCCCACTGCTTTCCGAGCGAAATCCGTTCTGCGATGCTGGCGCCATGAAATCGAGGAAGGGCGTGCCGCAAGGAAGCGGCCAGCTGGCCAACCCGCTCAGGCGATGCTGTTCCGCCGGAAGGTGTCCGGCAGCTCCGGCGCATTTATCAGCGACGCCTCGGGCTGCGCAGCGCCGGCGTCTGCGGCGGGGGCAGCCGCACCCGCATCGACCTCCTCGACCTGCGTGGCGTCGGCGTCGGGTGTGACCTGCCTCTCGATCTTCTCGTACTCCTCCTCGCGAGCAAAGGGTTTACATCACTCAAAAATGTGAGCCAGAGTTGACCGCAAACAATGTCTGTGGCAACATATGTGCTGCTGTCTGTGTGAAGCCATATCTGTGGCGCAGTCTTTGCAAAAAAAAACACATGCAACCAGTGTGGTGCGTTATATGTGGTGTAGTCAATGTGGTGCAACCTGCGTTGTGTAATCTACCACGTGCAAGCTTATGTTGTGCAACCTATGCGGTGCAAAGTTGTGCAACATGTATGATGCAAACTATGCGATGCAACCCCTGTGAAGAACTCTATGTGGTACAATATGTGTTGTGCGATACATGTGGTGCAACATGTGTTGTGTAATCTATGTTGCGCAAGCTACGCGGTGCACTTTGTGTTGTGCAACCGAGAGGCGCAATCTATGTGCTACAATAAATGAAGTGAAATCTTCCCCAAACAGTGTTTGCACTTAGGGGTTCTTACTTCTGTGATGAGGAACTGTGCCGTGTCTTCGGTTTGGCGGCTATGTGGCCGCCGTCGCCGCCCCGTCGCCGCCTGCCGTCTGGGCCATGCTTTCGGTCTGGCGGGGGTGTGGCCGACGTCGCCGCCCCGTTGCCGCCTCGTCGCTGCCCGTGCCTGGGCCTCCCTGTCGGTCTGGCGGTTATGTTGCCGTCGTCTCCGCCCCGTCGCCGCCTCGTCGTCGCCTGTACCTATACCTGTCTGTCGGCCTGGCGGTTGTATTGCCACCGTCGCCGCACCGACAAAGGTTGCACAATATAAATTGGGCCACATACATTCTCCTCACTGAAAAGAAAATAAACGCTACCCGCCCACCCTGGGATTATCGACACCACTTTTGTATTGCAATTTACATACGATTTCGCCCCACCGCCCATCGTGTATCCGCCCCCTTCGTCATCCTCTGCAAGGAAACTATGCGCGCGTACTCGTTCATCACAAATCATAAAAACATGCGTTTCTTTTTTCAAACAAAAAACGGCATGATACCGGAGGAAAGCCCCAATCAGATTTTTGTTGGGGCAATGGGGCTAGATGGGCTAGATGGCTATAGGAGTATGTGATATAGGGCTATTGGGCTATTGGGCTATAGGGGCTATAGGACCTTAGGGCTATAGGGCTATAGGGCTACATGGCTATAGAGCTATAGGGCTAATCATAAGGCTATAGAGCTGTAGGGTTCTAGGGCTCTAGGGCCATAGTGCTATAGGGTTCTAGAGCTATTTGGGCTATTGGGCTATTATGTTATTGGGCTATCGAGCTATAGAGCGATAAAGCTATAGGGCTATATGGCTGTAGGGTACCAAGCCCCCGGGCACCTCCGGGCACCCTCGAGCACCCGGGCACCCGGGCACCCACGAGCACCCGGGCACCCGGGCACCCGGACACCGGCCACCGAAATCCTGGGGCACCGGGCACCCACGGGCACCCGGGCACCCGGGCACCCGGCCGCCGGCCAGCAAATCGGCGCCGCACATCACCTAACCATATGAATCCGGTAGGACCCCTACAGAGGCAAGCTCTGATTGGGGAAAAAAACGCAGTGCACACGCCCGCGCCGTCGCGCGAGCATGCCGACATCCTTCAAAAACCGTCGGCTTCGTGAGGATTGCAAAACCGAGTCCAAAAAACATGTTAAAGCACATTGTTTCGCAACGCGATGTTTACCTACAAACTTGCACACCTTTTGCGCATTCTCGGGTGAAGCATCGATTTCCAACATTCCCACAAAATGCCACCAAACAGGCTTCGCGCGCGCGCATGTCGAAACCGTTCGAACGTCCTTGCGCGAGTGCCGTCGCGAAAATCCCCTCGCCAAAAATGAGACGAAGTGCGCGCGCGCGTCGTAGATCGCGCATGCCGAAATCAGGTTAATTTTCCGTTTCGTGGCGTTTTCAAAACCGACCGTTCCAACAACAAACAAAAGCACGTAGTTTCGCAACATCTGATTCTTTCAACAAAATATTAAACAAAAAAGGAAGGCAAAAAAAAGTGCGCTCACGCTCTTGCTCATTCTTGAAATAACCATAGTTTTTTCTTACAATTCCATGGAATTCTGCCCACCGGGCCTCTGGCGCCACATGCCGACAGCATTCGCGCGCCCTTGCGCGCGTGCTGGGGGGGGGCACGATCCGCGTCAAATAATTCAATGCGGGCCCTCGCGCGTCGGCCGCGCGCGCATGTCGAGCTCTTTCCAAAACCTTCATCATCGACGCGAGGACGCCGACATCGCCGACGGCGTGATCAGCATCGGCGCCCGCACTGGCCGCGCCGTCGTGCGTGTTAACATCATCACTAACACCGCTACTATCATCATCGTGTCTACCGTCGTCGGCGCTGCCATGATACCGTGCCCGTCCGGGTCGCCGATTCGCAGTGAAATGCCGTGTGGGATGTGCCCAGCGGTCAGCACCGCCGCGGCCGCGTCGGTCGCGCCAAACTAGCTGGCCGCTGCGCGCGCTTGCTTGGGTTGGCGCGGCCGCAGAGATGCATCAGCTAACGCCAAGCATCATCGCAATCGCCACCGTATGGGTTTTGCAAACCAAGTTGCGGGTGGGTGGGTGGGACGTTTACTTTGGCATGGGATGCGTCAGCTCGTTTGACAAATATCAAACAAATAATAGGCTCGACCCACCCCCCAAGATTACCGACCCCCGTTCTTCGCATTGCAATTTGCCTGCAACCAACCGGTATCCGCCCCCCCGCTATCCTCTACAAAACATACTACGCGCACGCGCGTTTATCAAAACACGTGAGGATTTCAAGATCGATTGCCAAACATCATAAAAATTCATCGCAGCGCGGATTTCCAAAACCGACTAAATGCACGCGCGGCACGCGCGTTCTTGCGAAATCTTGAGAACACCATTTCACTATGTGCATAAAATGCTGCCAAACAGGCTTCGAGCGCGCGCGTGTCGAAATCGCTCGAACGCACGGCCCGCGTCAAATAATGCCACCGCGCGGGCCACGCTCGCGCGTCTGCCGAGCGCACGCCACCACCTTGCACCAGCAATAGGTTTCGTGAACATTTCAAAATCGAAAGTCAAAAACACATGAAAACACTTGGTTTCGCAACGCGGGTGTCCAAAAATGCTCGCGCGCTTGTGCGAGGTGCCGAGGCAGCGCGAGCTGTTCAACATTTCCATAACATATTGCCAAACGGGGTTCGCGCTCGCACGTCGGAATCATTCGGGCGCCCTTTCGGGCGCGCTGTCTCGAGACTCCTTTGCAAAACATGAGACAAAATGCTCGCTCGCGTCGTCGCGCGCGCGTGCCGAAATCCATGGAAATAAAAAGAAAACGAACAAACAACAACATAAAAAAACTAAGGTTTCGCAGCGGTGCAAAACCGAGTGCCCCGAAACCAGGAAACAACTCAAATATCATATATCGCTTCGCAAGATCAGTGTTTTTTGAAACAAAAAAACCCGCGCTCGCTCTCGCGAATCCATACAACAACAAGAGGTTGGTCCACATGTCCAATTAATTCTGCCTAGCGGGCCTGTCACGCCGCATGCCAGAATCATTTGGGCCGCCTTGCGCGCGTGCTGGGGGGGGGGGCACGGCGCGCGTCAAATAACGCCATGCGGGCCACTCTCGCGCGTCGGCCGCGCGCGCGCGTCGAATTCCTTCAAGGACCTCCATCGCCGACGCGAGGGCGCCGTCATCGTCGCCGGCGCGGTCGGCATCGGCGCCGTCGCTGGCCGCGCCGTCGCCGTTGTCATCGTCGTCGTCAGCGTCGCTACTACCATCATCGCGTCCACCACTGTCGACGTCGTCGCGACGCCGCGCCCGCCCAGGCCGCCGACTCGCACCGAGCAGCCGTTGGGATATGCCCAGAGGTCGGCGCCACCGCAGCCGCGTCGGTCGCGCCGCTTCTCTGGCCGCTGCAATAGCGGGCGCGCGCGGGCGAGGGCGGCCGCGGACATGCACCAGCGAACGCCAAGCTCTCATCGCAATCGCCGCCGCGTTTGTTTTGCAAGCGAAGTTGGGGCGGGCGGGCGAGGGGGCGATTGCGCGAGCAGTGGAGCTGGCAACGACGCGCTCCACAAGTGAGTTCTCCTGTTCGACAAAGGGTATTTGGATCTACCCGCATGCGCCTTTCGGGTCGGGCGAAAGGGGGGGATAGCAATGGGGGGTTTTGAAAATCAGCTCACGTAGCTGATTTTTCCGGCGCCTCCCGGCGCCAGAGGCGGCTATGTATCGAGGAATGGGCCCCTCGGCGAGGCCGAAACCAGCTGCATGCAGCAAATTTCGTAACCCCCCCTTTCCCAATCCCCCCCTTTCGTCCAGCCCGAGCCTTGTCGGATTCAACCGCTCCCTCTTTCGCATTGCAACGCAAGCGCGATTCCGCCCCATCGCTCATCCTAAATATGACTTCGCGCCGCCCCAGGCAGGCTGGCAACGCCCCCCCTTCATCCTTCGCAAACTCTTCGCGCACTTCCTTCACACATATCATCGGTTTCCAAGAACTCCTTGCCAACAAAAAACACGATGAAGTGCGCGCGCGCATGCCGAACACATGTATGAATTCTCGTTTTCGCTCGGGTTCCGAGGTCGAATGCCCCGAAAACACATGGGGCACCCGATTTCGCAACGCGACGTTCTCAACGCAGAAAATAAAACAAGATGCACCCGGACTATTGCAAATTCTTCTATAAGAAATAGGGTTCTGAACTTTTTGCAAATGCTTGCGTCGAACGAGCCTCTCGCGCGCGCGTGCCAGAATCTTCGGCGCCTGCGCGCGCGTGCAATCGCAGGAACCTGAAGAACAGTCGGCGCGAAATGCACGCGCGCGCGTCGTCGCGCCCGCGTGCGGAAATACTTCAATAACCTCGCGTTGCGTGCGGATTTCAAGTTGGAAGGCCCCGAAAACATATGAAAACACTGTTTTGCAACAGCAGTGTTTAAGAAATCCTGCGCCCGCGGTCGTGCTGATTTTTTGAGATCTATAGGTTGTTCAACGTGTTCATACCATTCTGCCAAACGGGCCCTTCG